CGTATGTTATACAGTGTGATGCAAGTTCCTATGGTGTTGGTGCTTGCTTATCCCAAAGAGATGATAACGGTCAACTTTGCCCCATCAGTTTTGCTAGCCAAAAACTGAACAAAGTGCAGCAGAACTGGGCTACAATTGAACGTGAAGCGTATGCTGTAGTATGGTCGATTAAAAAGTTCGAAAATTACGTGTTTGGTGCGAATATTGACATTATAACTGATCATAATCCTTTAATATTTTTACAGAAGTCAGCACCCCAATCTGCTAAGTTGCAACGGTGGGCTTTAGCTCTCCAAAGGTACAATATTCATATCACACACTGCCCAGGTGCTCAATTAAAAAATGCTGATGGTCTATCAAGACTAGTAAGTGATTAAATGTTTTGTGTACTTATTAAAAAACAATCTAACATATATGATAACCTGTTTTATTACAAGGCTTCTTTTCATCTGTAAATATATATATGAGTATTATTGAAATTGAATATCTATTGCAATATCGTATCAATTGTATCAAGGATTCTTTTCATCTGTAATTGTTTATATATACCAGTTTTATAGAAATTTGATTTGTTTATTGTATATATTATGTGTTATAGCCAGGCAACTATACATCTGTCATATTTCTACTATTTTCATTTTGCATAGTTTATGTGTAAGTATTTGTAACAAGTATTCTATTCATATGTTTTATTTACAATAAGTGTTAAATATATTTTTATATATATTATCCTACTGTGTAGATCAGATTTCGCTATACCAGGTGTAGCGCAATCATGTCGGGGGGGTGTCATGCCTCCATGTTGTGATGGCGCTGTCATCAAGGTAGATGTTGTAAAAAGACAGAGGAGGGAACGCTCTGATGGAGAGCGGAAGCGAATTGTTTAGATGTCTTGGTCATATTAATTTTCTAATTTTTTATCATTATTAATAAATGTTTCTTTTGTGTTGTTAATTGGTTACCATTTTTTGACCAATTGTGATTTTTGGAAGTATCTGAGTGAAGAAGGGAAAAGGAGGAAAAATTATACATTATATCACAGTTACTGATTTTTTAGAATTTAAATAAAGCTTTATTATTATTGTCTCATTCCACTTTTATCTGTTAAATTTAAAGCCCCCTCAGCTCTATCAACAAGCTCTAAAAATATTCATTTTAGAACATAACTTTTCCATAGATAAATTTAAAGTCCAGAAAAAAAAGTTTCTCATCACATTAGCAATCAACTCAATGAGTAAACTAATTAAATATAAACATTCTGATTATGAAACTATTTAATTAGTTTAGAAGTTTTATAGTCATTTAGTATAAAATTAATAAAAATATTTTCTCTGAAGGTTAATTTTTAAAATTAAATTAATGAAATTATAATGCATTATTGAGAAAAAAAATTCACACATTAATTTAAATATTGAGAGCATAATAAAATATACTAGCTCGCGAAAAATTTCTAAGTCCCGAAAATAAGAATAATTCTTCCATTTTCCAAAGAAGAGATAATAAAAATCTTCCTTTTGATAAAACCTTATCTAAAGAGAGGATCTCACAATCTCCCTCAATTTCAGAAAAAAATCTCTGAGTGAGGTTGTATCCCCAAGTGAGGCAAGTATCTCAAGGTAGTGACTGAAGTCGGGAGGTCATAGACCTTTAGTGAGGCAGAACCCCCATTTTTCCACTACTAGCAATCAATGAATACTATTGAACTGGACAATGGTTTTTTAATTGATGCCATTACTATTTTGCGGATATCGGAGCTGGCCGTACACATCGCGTAATAAATGAAAGCGTGGATGCTCTAAGGAAGTCTTCAGTTTTGGTTATTCATAGCGATGATGAAGGCTTGTGTTGTGCCAAAGCAATCGTTTATGCAGTAGCACACTTGAAAAATCGCACAGCGAACGAAGCTATTACGAAGAAAAGGCGCCCAGCCTTAATGAAAAGAGCAAATGAATTAGGACCTTGTTTGTACCAGCAGATTAAACAATTTGAAGATTACCTTAACATCAAGATTGCTGTAATTTCATCCACAAATTTAATGAAGGTAAGTTTATTTTCAGTATTTAACTAATATTCATGGTAACACTTATTAAAAATAGTCTACAGCAAAGTAAAAAGTTAACTTACTTTATAATATTTTTATAAATATCCGTAGTATGCATTTTTATTGTATTTTAATATATTTTCATTTGTTGTTAGGTTTCATATAAGGATGAAATAACTCCAAGGCCCAGACGTATTACTTTGTGGTTGCATAATAACCACTATGACGTTATAAAAAACTTGCAGGGTTTCTATGCTTGGAATTTTTACTGTACGAAGTGTGACAAACCCTACAATAGAATTGAAGAACGCTATTACCCAAGCAGTTGTTGGGTTTGTCGAAGATCTATTTGTTTGAAAGATAATGCGCAGAAAAGATGCCATGACTGTAAGAGTTTGTCAGTCTGAAGATTGTTTTAAAGCATACAAAGATAAAACAGAATCAACAGTTTTCCCTTTGTGAAGTTAAATTTTTTTTAGCCAATTACATTTGATTTAATTGTTAATTTTTTTCCTAACAACTGATTTATTTATTGAAGATTTATCAATGTATCGGAAGGTTTTGCAACGACGAGTTTGTCCCGAAACATCGCATCAATACTATACTACAAAATGTGCATCATGTAAAAAAAAAAAAAAAAAAAAAAAAAAAAAAAAAAAAAAAAAAAATTTGNAAAAAAAAAAAAAAAAAAAAAAAAACGTGATAGCGGCAGAACATATGTGCTAGTTGCAAAGAACAGCTGCTTAAGCCCCATCAGAAAAACTGATATTTTTTTATTTTGAAATTGTTCAGACAACAGGGGAGCATATGGTTAATCTGGCTGTAGCTCAAACTGCAGAAAGAGCAGAATGTGTGTTCAAAGGATATAATGCTTGTCATGATTTTTGTACATGGCTGTTTGATAAGAAGCATAAAGGTTATACTTCTATAGCACACAATATGAAAGCGTGATTCCATTTTTTATTTGAAGAATTTTCTTCTTTTTGCTCAGAAAATATAATATATCAAATTTATTATTAGTTCAGTTTAAAGTTTTTTTTTCTAGATTTGATGGTCAGTTTATACTATCCTGGCTACTTTATGAATGGTTAAGCCTGACATTATACTAAATGGCTTATTAATCATCAAGGCATTACAGTTGCGTATCATTGACTCCATCAATTTCATGCCAATGGCATTGTCTAAACTGCCAGCATGTTTCGGGTTGGAAGAATTACGTAAAGGGCACTTCACTCATCTGTTTAATACCCCAGAAAACCAGTCATACATTGGACCCATTCCTGATGCACATTTCTATGCACCCGATGCAATGAATGGCTCGGCTAGAACCAAGTTCTACAAATGGTATGAACAACAGAAAGAGAAAACTTAATTTTAAAGAAGTATTCTTAATTCTAAGAAGAAATTTTATCCTATTGCAGGTAATGAGATAAAAAGTATTTTATTCTTTGAATAATTAAAAAAAAAGATTTTATTTCATTTATTTTATATCAGACTGTGATATTCGAGACGATCTTGTTTGTTATACCGAGAACAGTTCCTAGATACTGCCCTGGATTCTCTTCTAATACTACAGGATCACAATAATATCTGGATACTCTCTGACAGTCTCAGTTCCATACAGTACTTATCGCATTGGAGGAAGGTTAAAGACAATACAGGAGCTTCAATCCTGCACAAATTTAAAACCCTCTCACGATTGCGTGAAGTCCTTCTCCAGTGGATCCTTTCTCACGTTGGGGTTCTCGGCAATGATATCGCCGACACTCTGGCTAAGGAGGGGACAGAAGAAACTTTGATGTGTTCAGATTCACTCACCTTCTTGGAACTGGCATCGAAAAAAAAAGAAGACAATGTTTCCTGGCTCGTACCCCCCAAATATCACTGGTACCATAGCATCCATCCAGGAGGTGAGCTCAACATTCGGTGCAACCGCAAGGAGCAGACGGCGATTACCAGCGGCCACCTTAAAAGCCATATCACACATAGCAAAAATTCGTTCAATTCAACCTCCAACTCAACCCCAACTTCAACTCCGAAGACAACCCCGTCCGAAAACATAGGTGTGCTATACTTATCCGAGTTGAAACAACTGTTGTTCAACTATTTCACTTCCCTACAAAAGTGTTGAAGCAACTTCACAAGTCAACCAATCAGGTGGCAGCAACTGCATGGGATTATGGGATAGCACAAGTCAAAACAATATGGCCGCAAAGTTTACGTTTACGAAGCAGCGATCCAATTTGTTATATTTTAATTCAGGTGAGTTTTTAATTCATTATTGATTTTAAAGTTATTTTATAAGAAGTATAACTCTTTTTCTAACCTTTGAGGAAGTTTATGTTATGAATGTGTTATGTTTTTAAACCCGAATTAAAAGTAAGATTTTCTACGCCAAATTGGCCAATCTGAAGTAATTTTTGCCAAGTAAATAACAGTATTTACTTTTGTTTTACATTTTGATATTACTTATTTGATAAGCAAATTTTTTTAAATTGCATTTTATCTTTTTTGTACGTAAATGTTTATTTGTAAAGTACCTTGCATGTTAAGGGAATTTGAAATATAAACAAATTAGGAAAAAATATTTCATGCTCTAACATACTAAAATTTAAATTATTTTTATCTTTTGAAATAAAGTTTATATTACTTTTTTGGATATTTCATTTCGGTAGTAGTAGAGTTTGTTTACGCATACAATTTACTTGTGTACAATTCTGGATATTCTCCATAATACCATTAGTAATTTATAAAATTTATGTTAAAACTCTGTTTCTCTTTCTTTTATTAGTATTATTTAATTCTTTTATTGTGTTTTTGTGTGTTCATTTTTTTGTAAAGACTTAGTGCTATATATATTATTAGTAAATTACATAAAATACTAGTAAATTTTAGTTGCATATGAAATATTCAGAGTTCGTTTAAAATTATTAAAATAGTCTAATTTAATAATTGGGTTAGAAGATATTTTTAGAAAATTTACATATTACATAATTTTTTTTTTTTTAACAATTGTGTACAATACACATTTTGACTGATAATTAAGAGTTATTCCAGCCATCCACACTAACCCTCTTTCTTGTGTTTCTCTCCTCTCTTAAAATTGTGTTATTTATTGGAATGGTTTTATTTAAAGTATATTTTTGTGTTGCAGTCAACATGAGCCTCCCAGACTCTTTCAAATGGACAGTTGAAATGGAGAGCTTATTCATTGAACTCATCAGAAAGAAGGAAAACGTTTGGAACATAAAGTCCTCATATTATAAGAATCGAATCCTGAGAAGAGTCCGTTTTACTGAAATATCAACAAAACTCATCTCGCGGAATATCCTCAGTATGCTTCAGAATTGACATGCGGTAAGTTTATTATTATTATTATTATTTTGGCTTATTTTTCATATATAATATAATGGAAAATGAAATAATTGCTTAGTAAAAAAGTGATCATGTTAAATTTTATTGTTCACTGCCAGTTTTGAAGCTGTTGGATTATTTTATAAGAACTGGAAATTTATGTAATACATTAAAATTCTGGTACATGTTATTTTCAAAGTCTCAAAAAGCAAAATATTAAAAAATAAATAGTTTAGGTGTTACAGTGTGTAACATCTAAACTATTTATTTTTTAATATTTTGCTAAACTATTTCATGTGTTGTGATGAAAATATTACAATAATCTACCATCATAAGTATCTAGACATAACGAAAGAGAGATCTACAAAAAATGCATTGTTGCTACTACTTTTGATTTAAAACATTTCAGGTAGCTGCTTCTTTGAGACTGTCATGTACAAAGGTAATTTATTTCAAAAATAGATTACTATTTCTTTGTAAATGAATTTTGAAATAGCAACTAATTGAAAATTCATATGTGAGAAAGTAACTGAATAAGTGGAATTTTAATAGAATTGTTTTAGCACCTTCATTTGTGTTATGGAAGATCTGACTATAAAAAAGTACACGAATAGGAAAAAAAATATATTATAAAAATTTTAAATCAATGGGAAAAGTTTTTTACTTCTGAAAAAAATATGTATTGTAAAAGAAATTCGATACAAACTATACCCCTGAGAAATATATTTTAAATGCTAAGTAGCTATAATGATTTCTTTTCATTTATTCCCTGCTTTTTTTTCTCCCCAGATTGTACCTTAGTTTCTTATTACTTTTTTTACTGGTATAATTAATTTTTTTAAACTTTTTTTTAGAAAAGCTGCAAAAAAAATTCAGTAATTTGAAGACGATCTTTCAAAGAAATTTGAAGAAAGTGAAAACCCTAACAAGTGGTGCTGGATATGAGGGAGCTTGTCCCTGGGTACATTTCAATGCCTTGAAATTCTTAGTGGATGCGGAGGACTGTGAAGAGAGCTTTTCTAATTTGGAGGAAAATGATTCTCTGATTTTAAGCCAGGTATGGATATAAATGCTACTCACTCACTTTCTGTATAGGCTACCAGGCATATTGAATACCTCGAAAAGGAGCTAATAACTTTAAAATTAATTCACAAGTAGTAAATTTAAATTGCGTAATTAAATATTTCTCTTAGCTAAACTGAAATTTTCAAATTTTACAAATGACTGATTTTTAATAATAAAATTATTTTCAAATAGAATTAATATAGGAAGAAGAAACTAAAAATATCAAAGAATAAGCTAATTACAGTTTTTTCTTTTTAAATAAAATTAAGACAAATTTGGTTTTAATGATGTAGCTTTATGAATAAATTTCTTTTACAGTGTGTATGCATCTGCTGCTGTTGTAATGTTCAATTCTAGTTAGTAATTCATAAAAATATTTCATTTTTTAGAATGTGGAACAATCAAATGATCCTCTGGATTCAATAACCTTTGCATGCAGTTATACTCAAGATATCGTAGAAGATCACAAGGATTATCTTGAACAAGAAATAATGAATGAAAATGATGAACAATAAATGGTAGAGGATAACTATCCGGGGGCTTCGAAAGATAAACCTAAACTGAAGCAAAGGAAGAAAAGAAAGGCAGATAACGCTGAGGAAGATTTGCTACAAGAAGCAATGACCTCCTTGCGCCGGATACCTGCTCCGAAGGAAGCTTCCATTGAGGATACATGTGGGTTATATGTGGCCCAAATTCTAAAACAAATACCCGACAAAGAGAAAAGAATTCGGGCTCAAAAAAAAATTATTAAAACAGCATTTAAGTTTTTAATGGATTAATAAATTTTCATATTGTTCTAAATCTTTTTCGTACCTTTATAAGTTTTTTTCTTTTTACTCATCTAGATTTGTTGTGTATGAATTTCAGAAGTGTATTTTTAAGTGATAATTTCATAATGGGTGGCCAAGCTCGTTAATAGTCGAGCCATTTTTCAAAATTTGAAATTTTAGCGAGCCGCAATTAAATACATATTCAAAAGGTATGCTAAAATTATTATTACATTTTTTTTACAGAAATTATATTGAAAACATATAAATATAAGTACAAAATATGTGTATTGAACTTAAATATTAAATGCATTTATTTTACTTCTTTTGATAATTCTTTATTATTTGTAGAATAATTGGCGACAGCACTTCTCAGTAATTCTTTTAGATGCTGTTCCAGATACTGTTCAACTGTTCCAGGTGGTTGTTGAACAGAAAGTCGAAGTTGGGGTTGAGTTGATGGTTGAATTGAACGAATTTTCGCTAAGTGTGATATGGCTTTAAGTCTCCTTCTTTCGAGGGTAGTGTTAAAATCTTTCCAATCTGCCCCAACATATCCTGGACTGGACATTCTAAATAACCCACTTTTGGTGGCCGACTTCCTACGGGTCATGAATTTCATGGACATTGTTTAGCCCTGCTAATTTTGGGGATAAGGAAAAAGAAGCAGAAGACAGTTCTTAGAAGTTGGAGGAGTTGACCCATTTGAGTAAGAAACTTTTTTTTTCAAATGTGTGTTATTGAGAAATTATTTTGTACGAATAAATGCATTTTTTTAATAGTTTAGTCTTTGAAACATGTTTTTTTTTTTATATTTAGGTATGTTACTATTGCATCTTCAAGTATGGCTGTATTTAGGAATGGACAAATACAACCCAACACAATAGCGCTGGTGCCCGTATCTGGATGTATTACAAGGATAAATTATAGCCTAGATTCGATTCGTTGGCTAGATTATACAGCACAGAAGAATAACATATTCATTTTTCATGCTCTCAACAACACTAGTGAATTTAAAATAATTTTGTGGTTGGATACTGCAAAGATACAAACACTGTGTATCAATTTCACGTAAGTTCTGTGTTATAGTATATTTTTGTGCACATATATTTTAGTCTTCTATTTGAAGGGGTGTTTTTATCACGGCTGTGACCAGTGTTACGATGGGGATCAAATCCATCCATACAAAAACGTTACCATGAAGGCACTAAGGCAATCAATGGTGGAAACGACAACAAAACTAAGATCTAAAGGATACACTGTTGTAGAGTGGCGGGAACATGAGTTCAGCAGACTTAAATCAACTGATGATGACTTACAAACTCACAAATTGAAAGACAGGCTATTTCCGAGGGATGCTTTCTATGATGGTCCTACCAATACTCTAAAATAATTCTATGAAGGAAGTGCGAAATATGTTGATTTTACTTCTCTGTACACATGGGTAATTATAATTTTTTATTTCTACCCTAAATTTATAATTTTTTTATTTAATTATTTTTTAAAACATATTAGTGATTTCTGAAAGAATATAAATATTTTTTACACAGGTGCATAAATACTGCGAATATCCAGTAGGCCATCCCACTATTATTATTGAAGGTTTTTCCTCTTTGGGCAACTATTTTGGCTTCATAAGATGCAGTGTCGTACCACCTAGGCGTTTGAATTTACCTGTTCTGCCCAACCAGAAACTTATATTTCCACTCTGTAGCGTATGCGCGGAAACTCAACAACAGAGCCCGTGTCAACATTCTGACGAGGAAAGAGAACTGACTGGTATATGGGTTACAGAGGAAGTTAAAACGGCTTTAAAAAAAGAATACAAAATCTAAGAAGTAAGAGGAATATCGCTATTACACGTGTGTATCATGCAAAGTTTTAAAAATATTTTTTTCTTTCAGATTCACGAAATCTATCACTTTGAATAATCTTCTTCCTCCCTTTTCAAATCTTTCATCGATTTTAAAAATAAAACAAGAAAGTAGCGGGTGGCCTGACGACTGTGATACAGAAGAGAAGAAGTTGAAATATATTGACGAATACCTTGAAAAAGAAGGAGTAAAATTGGAGTATTCCAGCATAATTTAAAATCTAGGCAGAGGAGCTGTAGCAAAACTTATTTTGAACAGTTATTTGAGGCGGTAAGTAAAAAAAAAGATTATTTAAAAAAAAAAAAAAAATATCTGATGTAGGTAAGTATACGTAAATTTATGAAATAATTAGAGATATTTTATTTTAGATGGGAGATGAAATGTAATGAAGGTCAGCTGGACTTTGTAACTATACTTCCCCAATTCAACAAACATTTGAGTGATCCAACCAAGAATGTAAGTTCAATTACGTTATTAATTGTTGAGAATTTCATTTTTCCTTAAGAAATAAAACTGTGTCAACATTAAATTATTGTTTTCTCCTTAGATTAAAGATGTGTATTTCCCAACTCAAGAAGTTGCAGCCATACGGGAGTACAAGGAGGAATTTGCTGTCCAAGATGTTTCAACAAACATATTTATCGCGGCTTTTACTACAGCATGGGCTTGGGTTAAACTGTATGAAGAAATGGACAAGTTAGGTGAAAATGTGTTGTACCATGATACCGACTCTATCATCTATGCCCAAGATGGTTATCCTCCGCTTGGAAAGTTTCTTGGAGATTTCACAGATGAACTGGGTGGAGATGTCATCACAACCTTTGTATCTGGTATTATTTTTTTTTAATGTTATAATAATAGATAACTTTCTACAATTTATTCTAGAGCAAGTTTTAGAGTTAAAATTTTTTAATAATACTTTTCATTATTATTAAATACGGTTTTCTTTGGAGGTGGTGCTAAAAATTATGCATATGAGACAGCTTCTGGCAAAACATGTTGTAAAGTGCGTGGTTTTACATCAAATTTCAGGAATTCCCAGAAGTTAAATTTTGAGACGATAAAAAAAATGGTGTGCGTACTGATAGCGAAAAGCATACAATTCATAACCTTATGAAAATCTGCAGAGACGCAAAGAGAAGAAAGGTATTAACAAAGCCGGAAACAAAACATTACAGAGTCGTTTACGACAAGCTAGTTATCCAGACTGATCTATCCACCCTACCATATGGTTAATGATGACTTAACAGCAACAGTGTTTTGTGGGTTAACCTAACGGTATCCCTTTGACATCTGTCCACCAAAGAGAGGATTATGGCTCCTGGCGATTGACCTCTATAAAAAAAAACGCGTCTTATCCCTTACCCCACTCGGGTGATGAGGAAAAGGGGTTCTTTAAAGTATGAATGACATGTGTGAATATTTCCATAAAAATGAAAACAAAACAAAAAGAGTCATTTTTAAAAACTTTTATTAGAAAAAATCACTTTACAAAATTTTTAATATTTCAGCCATCTATTTGTTCTAGCAAAGAATACTGGTGAATCAACTGCAGAAGGTGAGTCAGTTAACATTTTTTTATTAATAACAAATATTTCAGGTATTTTTATTTCCGTCGTTGACGCCAGGAGCGCCATCTGTGAAAATTCAGTGTGTGCAATGAATCCGAAGAGCCCGGATGTGAGAAAAGAGCGTTACTCTAAATGAGTTATGTGAATAAAGTATTGTGTTTAGTTATTACAGTCCAACTTTTGTGATTTTTGAGAACTTTTTTCATTATATCGAGAATTTATGTGAAACTGAGCTATCGTCGGACCCATTGTTGGTCCTGTCTATAGGAGTTATCAGTAGTGAATTTAGTGGATAATATACCTAATAAAAGGTACGTGATTTATTATTTAGTTAGTGAAATTCAATATGTTTAAAAGTGCTAAAAAAGAGGACTATGATCGGCTTGCTGTCGAGCTTAATGTAGACATTTGTAATATGAAAACTATTGTTGATCTATTACAGCAATTCAGAATTGTGATATGTATAAATATAACATTGAGTTTGTTGAAGAGTTAGCAAATAACATAATTAAAAGCTGAAAGAGTGAAATCGAAACTTGAGCTCGCTAAATTGCGAATCGAATCTAAAAGTGAACTACCTGTTGATAGTGTGAAAAACGAAAGTGTAGAATCTTTAAACTCTCTCATTAAAAGTGTGAGGACTTTAACTCTTAAAATTCCTAATAGACCAGAAGGATGGGGATATTTCTTTTCGTCATTAGAAAGAGCTTTTATTTCAAAAAATGTCCCTGAGAAATGTAAAGCTGAAATTCTTCTAAATCTGTTAGGGGAAAAAGCCACGAATGAAATAACATACATTGAAGATGACGAATTAGGAGATTATTCTAAAGTTAAAACTATAGTTTTGAGAGAATTCGATCCATCCCCCCAAATCTGTTTAGAGAATTTTAGGAAAGGGCAAAAAATGACTAGTGAAACGTACGTGCAATTCGCGTCTAGATTAATAACGAGTTGGGAATATTATTTAAAATTAAAAGATGTAACTGACTTTGAAGCAATGAATAGTATCTGATAAAATTAATCAAACACATGATAGAGATGTTATGTGCTTTATAAATGTAAGACAAGCAAGTTTTCTTCCACTTCATTTTCCTCCACTGCTTGAGTTGGTTCGCTTTTATTTTCCAAAAAAGTAGGAAATTTGATATACTTTTGAAGAATTTGCAAACATAACTCTGCTTTTTCATAGTAAAAAATATTTTTATTTTTTAAAATATCATGCATTTGCCTGTTCAACTCGGACAAATATTCTACAGCATTAGTTTGTAGCCTATCTTCTGGAACTAAGATAAACTTTGAAGGGTCTGCCTCTTCTAGCGATGAATCTTCATAAGGCCAAGAGAAAACACTCGGTTGATAAGGATAACACAAGTTCAAGATCAACTGCACGGTAAACCGCGCATTTCTTCCAATATTTCTCGGGCATATTTCACTTCTGTAAGCTTTTAAACAGAAACAGAAATTTGAATAGTTATGTGTCTTTACTTCCGAAGAAACTTAACGAAAATCTTATTATTTTGCAAATTTAATGACGAAATTAATTTGGTTAATCATTTGTATAATTTAAAGTTTTTATTTTTTTACTTAATTTAATTTTTTTTTTATTCAGCAGTTTTTCAGACTTAAGCTTTTCATCTTTTTATTAAAATCGACTGTTTTCATTATGTTGTTGTTGTTGTTGCTAATTCCCACTTGGTCTGACGGAGTCAGACCAGATCAATAAATCCGTTGATATTTAGGAAGTCCGAAATTAAAAGGGGAGAGAAATGAATGTCGTTCCAGTCCAGCCCTAAACAGTTCAAGATG